TTGTTTATTTATGATTACATTGTCACTTTGTATAGTGCCTCTGAACATGTTATATATGAAAGGGCGCACTATAAATATGATGTAATAATAATAATAATAGCCTATCGTTTACAGGCCGCAATTCTGAATGGATCAGCTTGGTACTTGGCATATGTATTTATTATATGCTGTAATAATAATAATAACCTAAGGACGACAACTGCATGTCCCAACCACCAGGGGCAGAACCACGCCCCAATTTATCATTCACAGGCCGCAATTCTGAATGGATCAGCTTGGTACTTGGCATATGTATTCCTTATAGCCTAACGGTGGCAACTATTGATTTTGGTGAATGCCCCGACCCTTAGAGGCAGAGCCACGCCCAATTTTTGCCTTTAGCCCCGAAGACCACAATTCTGAATGGATTATCTTGGAACTTGGTATACTTATTCCTTATACCCTATAGACAGCAACTAATGATGTTGGTGCACGATGTTTTGCCTTTAGCCCCGAAGGCCACAATTCTGAATGGATTATCTTGGAACTTGGTATACTTATTCCTTATACCCTAAAGACGGCAACTAATGATGTTGGTGCATGATAATCACCCCCCCACCCTTTCGGCGGTGCCACACCCATTTTTGGGTTGATATTTTGTCTGTAAATGATATACAGGTTGCAATTTGGATCCAGTTTGGAATGATCCAGCATAGGGTTGTACTTATATATATTTGTCCATGTCCAACCCCTGTTTTATGTCTATAGGCTGGAATTCTAAATGGATCATCTTGGAACTTGGCATATTTATTTCTTAGACTGTAATGATAGCAAATATTTATTATGGTACATGTCCCACACGCCAGGGGTGTGGTACCACACCCACTTTTTTGTTAGTTTTTATCTGTAAATACTCTACAGGTTGCAATAATTAACAGATTTTGTTCAAATTCAGGATATCAATCATTTCAATAACAGGTTGGTACCATGGACGTTATTATTATAAGGTCCATGGTGGTACCTATTTATATTGTTCCATAAACAAACCCCAGGAGAAGAGCCACACCCAATTTTTGTATTTATCGGCTGCAATTCTGAATGGATCATCTTGAAACTATGGATTTTTATTCCTTATACCGTAAAGACAGCAACTATTTACTTTGGTGCATGCCCCGACCCCCTGGGGCGGTGTCACACACACTTTTTTGTTAATATTTCGTCTGTAAATTTGGCAAAACAAACCCAACATCTAGACTTCTTTTCCTCTTGTCATATTACAGTCATTTCATATTTCATTATCTTCATTTTAAAAAGTACAAGGGATCTTTTACGTGCATTCCAATGTCTACACGGGACCTCGGTTTTTCGTATCATCCAAAGGACTAGACAGCTGTCCTTGTCAGGCCCTCCATCCTGCATCACTGACAATATCAATCAAAGCAGGAATGTGGACATATATTGCAGTGTTAGCGATGCTCTCGTTGTTAATATTTTGTCTGTAAATAATCTACAGGTTGCAATTATTAACATATTTGCATCCAATTCAGTATGATCCATCATAGGGTTGTACCTATTGCAATTTATATTGGTCCATGTCCATCCCACAGGGGCAGAGCCTTGCCCAGTTTTTGCATATTTTGGTGCATGTTCCGACCTGCAGGGGCGGTGTCACACCCACATTATTTTGAAAAGTACCATATGAATCAAAGCAGGAATGTGGATGTATATTGCAGTGATAGCGATGCTCTCGTTGATAATTCACATGATTTCGATTTTATGATCATTAGTTGATGTGCAATAATGTATGCACATTTAATGGAAATTCCTAGTATTAATATCTGTAAAAGATATGAACTGAAACATGGCCCAGAGATATTTTCTAATCATACTGAAATCTGTTGTTTTAAAAAAAACTATCGTGTTATTTTACTTACGTAGAATTCAATACCACTTTATTATTGGTACATCAATTTCTGTGACATATTTCTGTTCGGGAAATCCACAGTGGTGCTATTTTAAACTTTTATATTTAATTATACCTTTGAGGATTGACAATATGTTTTACAGATTTCTCAGGTGGCCTTAGATATACTTCATTGTCTTAATCTCTATAGAGAATGTGAGTTTACTATAAACAAAAAGTCTCCAAAAATGTTTGGCATGAAAAATGTGAAAAATAAATATTTTGAAACCGTATAAATATCTTTATTGACTAAATGTCAACTAAGTGTTGAATTTGTGCAACTCTCTTTTTTTTCTGGATAAAAAAAAATTCTTAATGAAACCTCAAAGCAAGGGATTTTTATGTCACTTTTACACCCTGTGTAACATCCAAAAACAAATTGGATTTTAAAGCTTTAAAAGATTTAACGATGATGTTAGCCAGTCCATGTGTATAGGTTGAAATATTGGTTGCTGGAATAGAAGAGAAGGTAAAGAATTTTCTTTCATTTTCTGCTTGGTAGCAGTAATGGAAAGTTGGTACCTGAAACCAAGTGTGTGAGGAGTTAATGAACTCTGGCATTACAATTTGATCAATAATCTAGACTATAGTTTAGTAGGATACGATCTTTATATCGGCCTGAAGATGCAGTGTACCGTGATGGCTCCCAAATGCTTTGATTCAACACTAATAAAGAGCCCCATTTGATGGAATCATCTAAAATTACTTCACCATTGCATGTTGACATTAGAGAGTCTCAATGGTAGAAAATTCTATTCTCTACTGTCAGAACTAGATAGAAGAACATTACATGCTGAAAAGATGGTTTTTGTCAAAAAATTTGCTGATGATAGAGTAACTATCCTACAGGAATAACAAATATGACCAGTTTTGGCTAAAGGATTCTTATGGGCCAAAAAATGAAAATTGAGTTGTTGATATACTCGGATTCTACATTTAATTCTGAAAAAAATAAGACATTTAACACAAAATTGTCTCCAAAAATGACGAAGTTATGACTATTTTAATGTTATATGGTTGGAAATGTCCCACAGCACTTATACTGAAATACAATGCTGTGCGACATGCAGGTCCTTTAGCCAGAGCCACAAATAAGATCATTCATAAAATACATTTAGGTGTACCATAAGTTCTTAAGTTAAAATACTGATACAATCTTAAGAAAATGTGAGTAAAATCAACAAAACCATGAACAAAGATTCAAATTTGGTATTATTTTTTATGAGCGAACAAGATCTCGAAATTGTTATCAAAGCAACTTCATTAGGCCGTATGCATAATTTAAGTTAGAATTGATCAATTTGAATCCTTTTTGGATGTTACTGAGTCTGGTCTATTTTATTCTGAAATATTGCTTCTGCAAGAAAAGAGTTGGTGTTCTAAAGATTTATTCTTTTAAAGTTAATGAACCCTTCAAATGTTTCTTTTCGAGATCAAATTTTCACAGTGTTGTAGTTTGCAGGGAATTAACTATCTCTTAAACGACAATCAGATACTTTAAAATATATGTATGTATTAAATAGATTGAAATATCTTTAGGTTATGTTCATTATGAATTATCTTTTTCAGTAAATAGTCTTTTCTTTTTTTCTTGAAAAATGATATGTGATTTATTTCAATTTTAAGAGGGTGTTTTAAAGATCACACCTAATATAACCTGATGATAATAAGTCTGCTCATTTCTTTCCTTTCATTAAAGAAATCATTTGTCAGTCACTAGTTGAAATACTTTAGTGATCATTCACCAGATTCAGAAGTAAGCAGCATTATCGAGGTTGTGCCACACAGATTTGATTTGTAAATAGCCTTATTGACGTTACTTTCTTGAATACTACTTTTTTTACATTCTTATGCTCCGGTGTCCAAGAATAGATCTAATTATTATTCATTTAAGCTATCTCTTATGAACAGTAAATTATATGTGAAAGTCATAGAGCTGTCTATGGGTGCTGAAATTAACATTCTAATTCCTGTCTGCTTTATTATTAAAGACTACATAAAACCAGATACTTGCTTTGCCTTGCCTAATTATGTCGGCTTTCTAGGTTGACGCATTAATCAGTCTTAATATCTAGCTAATACATTCATTAGCAAACTTCTAGATTTCATTCAGAAGCATAATTTATGAACCAAACCTAAAACATGAAATTAAAGAAATACTTTAGGTGACATAAGTAGCACTGGTAATAGTAAGTGCAAGGGGGCTACACCACACATAATTTACACAAAACAAATCTAGGGACAAGATACAATACCCAGAAATCACAAACATATGTACATATCAATTAAATTAAGTGAATGGATCCAAGGGGCTAGACATAAGTGCCTGTAGGGGTTTTGTTTTAGTTAATTAAAAATTATTTTTAATTATATATTTTTAAATAAAAATAAACACACTTGTATGGATATACTACTTCTGAATTTTATTAAGATGCTACGTTTCAATACACATACAGGTATCGTTATCAAGCAAATGATGATTAATTAACAAAAACGTGGTGCAATATGAAGACTTTGGAAGTCATATAGCAGATAAAACAATAACAACAAATTGATTAACAAGATGAAAGATATAATATATAGACAAAAGGTAGAAACCATTTAGCAGATAACACAATAACAACAATTAATCAACCAGATCAAAGATAACAATTAGAAACCATTTTGCAGATAAACCAATGACCACAATTAATTAACCAGAACAAATATATAGATAACAAGTAGAAACTATTTTAGCAGGTAAAAAGAAAAAAGGAAAAAAGAACAGAAATTTGGGGGGGGGGGGGAGGGGACATATTAACCACACACTAATTAGGGATTGAGTAAATCTACCTATAGATTTGGGAGAAAATGTCCCGAGTCTCTGTTTAATTTAGTGTGTTTATTTTTAGTGAAATCTATTTCTATATGTCTTGTAAGGATTATTTTTAAATACCTTACCTAGATTATGAATTTTAAATTAATTACAAATAGACAACTGTGGATAATCGTTGTATATTGTGTTGGTGCGTTATTAAATATTCGTAATAATGTTATATAAATATATTTTTGCTTTTAGACCCTCTGGAAGTTGTATTCAGATGTGTCAAAGAAATCGAAGGAAAATGGAGTAATAAAGTCATCAAAATCGAAAGTAAGTAACGTCATCGAATCATTAGAAATTAGCCTCCTCACGGCCATGCCCTCTTTGGTCTCTACACATACCTGGTATATAATTGTGTAGGTTATGTCGTGTGTAATTGTATTGCCCAGAAGCGATATCTTTGCTTAGGGATGTACCTTACTATGTTTTATGTAGGGATTTAGCCAGAAGGATAGTGCCCCATTTAGCATATTTTCCAGTTCAAAGCAATACGATCTTATAGGTGCAGTGTTCTATTTACATTCGTGGTCTAGTGAAAAAGGTCAAAAATTTAAGCAATCACAATGTGATATTATTTTGTATTCTATCAAGATATTTTGATCCTACTTTTTTTGGCTTGGGGCTTGAGTTTGCCTTTGGTTGTAGTGGAGGTGAGGTTAATAATCTATCAGTTTTTAGCCCAGTATATTCATGTTTGAAATGCTTAGCTTAATTTACTGTCATAATAGTAAAGTATATAATGCTGTATAGACAATTAATTATAGATCTGAATGATAGTGTCAAGGTAAACAGTACTCACGAGTATTTGATTTATTGCCCATTTATTAGTTAGTTCTTTCCATACCAACAAAGGACAAACCTGGTTAATTTGTTAAAATATAATGCATATTAGAACACTCCATGAACTGTCAACATGATATCTAACAATAACTTGAGCAGAAGATAAAATCTACCATAGTATAGAAAGTTAATGATCCCAAGGTATTAGAATATTTAGAAACTGTAAAAACACATAATCGGATATTAAAATCCAAGCACGTCATTCGTGTAATTATGAAAGTGAACTAAATTTAGTTTTTAAACAAATATAGGTGTATCCACAAAAGCAACCGAAACAGGTTTCAGTCGTTCGGTTTTTCAATCATGGCCAATCATGTGCAGAACATTAAGCATGTAGAATGTGGTTGTAAGGAGAAACAATTACTAGTTTTGGTCCATATACAACCTAATAAGTGCAGTGCAACCAAATGAACTAAAATACTGTATCAGAAATTCATACTGGTAATTAAATTATTTATTTCATTTTCTAGGGTGCAGAATTAAAACTGTTATGGCAGAAGTGTAGTTCAGATAACCATGTATTATCCAGTACCGCATGTCTAGTTTTATTTGAATTAGTTTGCAATAAATCAGTCGACTTTAACTATGTATACCAAAGCCTTATCAATATAGTTCCATCAGCAAGGTGAGCTCTTAGTAACTACCATGCAAGTTATTTGATGTAAGAATATAGTTGTCTCCACCGTTCATCTGTCCATTCACAATTCTACCAAGCACTGTACAGGTGTTTTCAAGAATTCTTGATCTTTTATCTGTGGATTGCTTAGTTAAGCTAGAGGACAGGGTTCTTAATCCATTTTGAAACCAACCGGCCAGAATTGGGTCAAATGAGGTCCCGTAGGAAATTGGTTAATTATAAGCTTAATATTTTAATGTATGTTATTACCACAAAAATAACGACAGGTACACCTTTTGAAAATTTTCCATATTTAATTCACGTACCAGCTTAAAGTTCATGTCATTGATATTCCAGAATAAAAGTTTTTATTCATTCGTTGATGAAAGACAAACGGCACAATTGTCAGGTGACAACCGTAATTGAAATTGCTTTAAAACAAAAATTCAGTACAATTAAGATATAGTCTTCAATAAGAACGACAATATTTTTAAAATTAAGCCTTTGTAAGAATGTGTATAAAATAAAAAAAAGTCATAACGGTAAATGCTATTTACAACTGGTTTATTGACCTAATTCCAACCATAGGTGTACAGGGAAATTTTTGACTGGGGGGGCGGTGGTGGTTGGTGCCCAAAAAATGTAGTTAGGTTCTTAGTATGTTACATAATAATAATAAATTTGCTGTTAAATTGGACACATTCAAGAACACAATATCTTTATACAACTTTTACAAAATACAATTGTGTGCCCAAATTTTCCCAGCATTTGGTGCCCAAAATGGGGGGGCGGCCGTCCCCCTCCCCCCCAGCTCGTACGCCTATGATTCCAACCAATATGTCACGTGTCATTGGAATTCGACATTGGAGATTCTATCAGGAAAATATATTATTAATGACTGTTTCTCAGTGTATTTGGTGTTCTATCAGGGGATTATATTAAATTTACCTAACAACTGGTCAGTGAATCCATCAATGTATGATTCAGTTATTATTTTAATATCTACCGGTATCTGGAAGACACTTGATTGGCCAACCATGCCAAGATCGTCTTCTTTTGCCACATGGGTTATTTTTACTAAAGCAGCTTAATAATCAGCAGGCTTGTTTTGTTTTTTTACCGGATTATCAAAATTACTGTTAAATTAAATGTGCTAATTAGGCTACTCAGATTATGAACCACATGGCCGATTCTCACTAAGGTATGACTGTTGTTGTGGCCAACAAGCAAGTTGATTAACTTCTTAATTAACAAGTAATAATTAACCTGTTGTAATTTAGCCGAAACTAGATTGATTATTTATGATACCATAGTGGCCGGTTCATTGTTTTACCAATCGACTTGATTGAACTTCAAGCGGCTAAAGCCGACAAAAAACAGACAATTAAGATCCCTGCTAGAGGGGGAATCCTACAAGAATACAGACCAAATCTGTCAGTCTCTCCTTTACCATTTTGGTTTATATATATATATATACAGCTTCTAATTGAGTTCAAATGTAGTGTCAGTGTTTATTAAAGGCAGAGATTCTAATTGAGTGAGAATGATTAAATTTCGCGTATATCATTACAACAATGCCTTGACTACGTTTAATAAGGCGCAATTCCAATAGTTTCACTACATCACAGTACTTTGACTAAGTTCAATGATGAACATTTTTTACGTGGATGTTTTGGGACATGATTTGATATGTGTTTATTTGGTGCAATGTCTATTTTCTGTCTTGTACTCAGGTTTATCTTGTAGATTTTTGTTATGTGTAGTGCGGTCCTCCTGCACTTACTATAGGATTCAAATTGAGTGAGAGTGGTGAAACTTTTCTGCTCAAGTATAGATGAGCAGTTAGATTGCTTGATACCTTACAAAAAGATAACTATATGCAAGTAATTAGTTTGTGTCGTCTATTATTTTGTGATCAAGACCAGGGTTATTAGCCTCACCGCTAGGTTATTTACCTAAAGAATCATAAAGCAACAACTTTTATCGACTCCTCGAATGACTCTAGCAACCTATATTTCATTAGCTGGCAACCTACATTTTGAATGTGTATGTATGTTTGCTGTGCTGCTTTAAGCTGTAATTCTCAACAACACCTCATTTCATATACATGAGTGACAAGCGAAAATACTATCCTGTTAATTTCAATGCCAATTAGTGAAGATATGAATTTTAAAGACTGAAATTAGAACCCAGATACAAATTATGCAATATATTTCTTTAGTTGACTGCATATTTGTGTAATATGTAATCCAGAAAATGATAGTATTAAATCATTTTTATACATCCACATTGAAATGTGGTTGTGTCGTATATTGTCGTCACCCCCGTCCGTCCGTCCGTCGGTCCGTCCGTCGGTCCGGTGTCCACAATTGATTGTGGACGCTATAGAGACTAAAGTTAAGGTCATGAGACGAAGAAGTCTATTGATTTTCAGCGATTTCCGATAATTACTGTCAGAGTTATGGCCCTTGATCACTTCAAAAAATCTTGTGGAGGCTCTAGAGGCTAAAGTTAATATTTGATTGACTTTAAATTTATACACAGTGGTTAAGGTCATGAGATGAAAAAGTCTATTCATTTTCACTGATTTCCGATAATTACTGCCAGAGTTATGGCCCTTGATCACTTCAAAAAATCTTGTGGACGCTCTAGAGGCTAAAGTTAATATATGATTGACTTTAAATTTTTACACAGTTTTTAAGGTCATGAGACGAAGAAGCCTATTCAATTTTCAGCGATTTCAGATAATTACTGCCCTTGATCACTTTGAAAAATCTTGTGGATGCTCTAGAGGCCAAAGTTAATATCCGATTGACTTTAAATTTATACACAGTGTTTCAGGTCATGAGACGAAAAAGCCTTTTGATTTTCAGTGGTTTCAGATAATTACTGCCAGAGTTATGGCCCTTGATCACTTTGAAAATTCTTGTGGACACTCTAGAGGCTGAAGTTAATATCTGATTGACTTTAAATTTATACACAGTGTTTAAGGTCATGAGACGAAAAAGTCTATTCATTTTCAGGGATTTTCGATAATTACTGCCAGAGTTATGGCCCTTGATCACTTTAAAAATCTTGTGGACGCTCTAGAGGCCAAAGTAAATATCCGATTGACTTTGAATTTATACACAGTATTCAAGGTCATGAGACGAAGAAGCCTATTGATTTTCAGCGATTTACTGCCAGAGTTATGGCCCTTGATAACTTTGAAAATCTTGTGATGCCCTAGAGGCTAAAGTTATCATCCGATTGACTTCAGATTGATACACAGAGTTTAAGTTCTTGAGACGAACAAGTATATTGATTTTCAATGAATTTTTATGACTTCAACAGCTAAATCCATAATATTAAAAGTTTCGTATACTAAACGTTAGCATGGGGCAGAACTTTATAAAAACCAAACAAATTCTAATGATTTTCTGATAATGACTTTATGAGTTGTTACTCTTAATCAGATTTTAGTGTATTATAAATGTTTCATTACCGAAAAAAGTAAAAATATGCGACAACACTTGTTGACAGCCCGGACGATTTAGCTGCTGTGATCGTATGTTTTGTTGCCTGGCAACCTATCTTTTACAAATTGGTAGATGTATATTGTGAATCAGATATGTAACTGAAATCTGTCGAATTGATATATGTGTTTTAATATTGAGTTTTAGATACTTTTTATTTCAAAAATGACTTCCTTCCTTGAATATTGATCTTTTTGGATTTTTCGAGATTGATCTTATTACACATTGTATTAAACGTCTTTGAAAACTTTGTTTTCCTCTCACTTAACATTTCGTTGATTTTCTTTCATTATTTCTTCCTTTTGGGATTCGCAGTGGTGTACAGAGGTTTGGTGATGCCCATCGGACCAACAATTTGCCCCAAGAATCAAGTATAGGGCCTAACACTCAGACATTTTAAATATGTAAAGTAGATGAAATAAACTATTCATTCTATTAAGTATGACAGCTTGTACAACCAATTTAAAAGTGATAATGCCAATGGTATTTGGGTATTAGTATCAAAGGTATTCAGTACCATTAGTTTAAGATCATTTATCAGAACTTGTATCTTTTCAGGAGTTTGTATGGAGTTGCACTAGTGCTAAAAGAGTTACTTGTACTTCAGGCATTAGACAAAGAAACAACTCTGAATAAGTATACCTGTCCTTTTGGATTGAGGTAAGACTATTATGTTTAGCAGACCAGATTGCATTTCTCTTAGCCCTCATTACTACTGATAGTCTAACCTCTACTCTAGCCAAACCTCTTTATTTGTATTCAGTCACAAGCACAGTTAAGTTAATATTGTCCATGACATAATCCTGGCTTTAATAATGCACAGAATTTTGGGAGCCAGAAAACCTTATAGTCAATTTCCAACCAGCGATTAGTCACAATTATTAAAGATTTTTGTGAAAATTAAATGTAGAAAAAAAATATTTGATAGTTATTCCAACTAAAAACCAGTTCTCTGGAAAGTCTAAATCAGCTGATGTCTGTGGAATATTGTAATAAAATTGTTTATATTGGTTAACATATCTGTCAAATACTCATTGTAACTCAATTTAGCAATTAGTCATTAGAATCACCAATATCTTTTTCTCTGGTCTATTCTTGAAGTGCTCCAGGAAGATAATTTGGTCATTAAGTCATTTGTAAAGTAATAATGTTACAGTGTGTATAAGTACTATCAATAGAGAACTGACCATTACCTTCAAATTATCACATATTATGGTCTTAATACTTAACAGCATAATCATATAATCAATGCCACCTCACATGACATTTGCTCCATAATAAGAAAATAGAAGATCCTGGGGTTAAGTACATGACCTCAATCTCTATACCATGTTTACTACTGCCATATCAAACCCTCACTTCTTACTCTGTGGACACTTACTATCAATAAAGTGGCATTGTCAACCTCACCCAAAAAATAAAATTAATTTTGTTTATCATATAATTGGAAAAACCTTAACCAACTAATTATCTAAATACAAAGCCTTTAACTAGTTACAACAAAAGTTTGTACACTTATGACTGCTGAACCAGTTGAAAGCGATTTTAGAGTTTGAACAAGTCATGAACAAGTCATAAATATATGATCCTATCTGTATTTTATGGATAGCAACAAACGGTGCCCCTTTTAGCTACTTTGTCGGTATTATTGATTTTCAATTTTAATATGTTGCTGCCTAAGAAAGATTGATTTAGTGACTTTCACATATCACTGAATAATTATTTCACACAGTTGTTGCTTTACACAAAAGTTTGTGTCTTTGATGCAAAAAGTTCAGTTTTATTGCAAAAAAGACTGTTTTAGTTTTGCTTGAAAAAGAAAAGGATCAATGTCTCAAGCAAAGTTTTTTTAATCTTTGTTAGTTTATTCAGTATATAATAGTAAAATATTGATATCTGTGACCCGTTGTGTCTGTTTGAATCTGCCCAACCAAGGAATGTAAGTTTTGAAATAAAGCAAGTTAAAGATGTCGGTATGTTCCAAAACAAAATCACATAGCAACCATGTCGTTTATTTGCTATTTTGTCGTTTAATATTTCATTCTCAAGGTTTTCGGAGGGTGCTGAAGACAAAAATCGTAGTAAAAATTTGATCTGACATTTGTTTTATTATATAAAATGGCATATTCACATTTTCTTTGATAGTGTTATAATTTAGAACAAATGAGAATAGTCCATACATTAGTAATCTATGTTTTGTATATTATAATCTTTGGTGAGAATAACTTCAGTTAATCGCGTCAGTCAATTAGCACCTTAGTGCCAGTGTTCAGTTGATTAAGATTGTTGATTGTTTAATCAAGTTTAGTTTCATGATCATCAAAGAAGCCATTACAGGACTGAATGAAAATAAGGTTTTGCGTGTACAATAGGTCTATTTTTATTATCAAGTACCGTAACAGTATCAAAATATAAATCCCTGACAGAATGATAGAAATTTCAATTTCATTTGAAAGAAATGATTACGTTGACTTTCGTGCATTTCGGTGGCGGTGTAATGACACAAATAATAGCAGACTCTAAAAACATCGCTTTCTGGTTGTTCTCATTTTTCCGACCCATAGTGATAAGCGTCAGTTAAATGGGAGTCGGCTATCAGTAAAATTCTCTCCAAAAAGAAATTATTGGCGATTTTGTTATTTCCATTTAGGTCTATAAATTATTTTTTTTAACATGAAACGAGATACATATTCAGAAACAATACAAAACTGCGGAAATGCACTGCTGTTTTTATTAGAGGTAACCAGTGTATGTTAATAACAGGCCAATTGCCTACATAAACAGTTTATATGGGCAGCTTATCTGACGGCCCCATTTCACTCGCAAAGAGATACACCGTCAAAAGAGAAAATGGACGTTTTTGATTTTCGTCTTAATGTAGCACTATTGTCGTTGCGACATTGTTTTTAAATTTATAGACAAGGAATAGAGAAATAAGATACCTTTATATTTCATTAATTAATATCTTTGGCAAGTTAGTAATTTCAAACATATTCACATATATAGTGTGCACTAAATCAACTTAGTCTGTAATTGACATATTGTTACATAAAAAGAGCTCTTAAACCAAAACAGGTGTCACAATTTACCACCAGAATTACACGTGAGTGGAATTATTCTAATTGCATCATTTGACTTAAAGTAACCAATCGTATCGTTAATTGCACAAGTTCAGGGCCATGAACAGGCTTCCTGTGCATGATAAACGTGGTTGCTATATAAGATACCTATTTGAACCTTTCAAGACAGGCTTCTATTAGGTTCCAGAGAGCTTACATCTGAGTAGCTAGTATTGTTATCTATTATGCTTGCATACCTGTATTCAGCTATATATATATATAAAATATGTAGAAGCAAACTGTCGCATTGTTATTCCTGGTAAGACAGACGTCTTAAGAAACTGTAAGAAGTAAACACACAACGTGAAGCAGAAGTAAAGACAGCTAGAAACAAATTCTAGACGATCACAAGGCTACAGAAATATGTAGTAAGAAAAGATGCATGGGTCGTACGTAGGATGTGGCGACCAGTTTTAGTACTGTGTCCGCTCTCCACGTCAGACAAAAGACTCATGGTGCTACATATATAATGAGTAATTTCTCCACCAATCCTCAGACATTCAGCAATTCGTCGTTGCATGCTCCTAATCAACCGTCCAATCACGATTTGGGGCAATGACCCACTCCTCTTGCAGTGCCAATTCTTGCAGTGTTATCGGTTGACGTTGATGTCGACGAACATGTCCCCCGATCAAATTAAACGTAACACACTAAAGCAAAGATAGGCTAAACAGTAAATATTATGCTAGAACCGATAGGAAAGCAAACATGGATAGATAAACCAGCACGCGGCAGTTTTCATCAACCCTTCCTTGAAGTGTCAAATTTTACAATGAACCCCTCCCACATGTATGGCGCTATTGCGTGTCGCATGTGCAGCTCAGTGGTTCTGTGTGGGCGATAAGTTCTTACGCAAAGCATGTCAAATGTCCATGACTATTTATCATATCGCAACCTACAGAGGTATTTGCATTTCAATATCCCCTACTTTTTTTTGAAGAGTATATAATAATAATTGCTTGGATTAATGGTTTGTCGACAGCCTTATTATTGGTAATTATCAATCAATTAATCATTAATCTGTGATAATTGATTAGTATTATTCAATGACATGATCCGCTTGTTTATTAATTTACAGAAGTTGCATGCTGATACATGTTTTTGGCACTCAACGGCAATCTAGACACAATCAGAGAGGCTCGCATTTACCCCCCAAACCAAAAATTATCGCCAAAATCAAATTTCTATTGTCAGCTTGAGCCTCGAGACAGCAATGATACCATAAATCTTTGCACGGGATGTCTGGCCAATCAGCAAATGAATTGTGTACACTCATAGCAACAAGTAAGGTTTGTTTATGTGTTGTGGCAGTTTTAAGATTCGTTTGTATTCGTTCAAAATGAATTCATCTGCAATACTTTGGTCATATCTATAAACCCAGAGATTTGCTGCTTCACAACAAAGCCAAGTATTAGGTATAAGGATTGAGCGTAGAAAATTAACTAATTTCACTGAAAATTTTGAGAAAAAAGACAGATTTATAAATGCGGTACTCTTACAAAACGTCCAAATAAAGGTGCTTTAAAATGTTTTATTGCTATTTTGATCTTTTGGGTCGATAGATACTGTATTTATAGACTCATTTTTGTGCATTAAATCAATATTAACACTTGTTTTATGTATAGCTCATTATTAGAATTTGTGCATTCCAACTCATTTTGCCAGAATTGGTCACATTTATTAAAAAAACAACAACCTGTCTTTTAGTACTGGTAGTTTTCAATAATATATTGTGTAGTAAATGGTAATAAATTGGTGTTATTGCGCATCAAACCAGAATCAAAGTGCTATGGGTTTTTGGTTTCTTAGTTGAATTCCATCGCACATCTATGTCGTTTATAATGAGGTAAATTCTGAACGGCTAAATCGTCGCTCCAGTAAGCGATAAATAACAATGTTTGTTAACCCTTTCTTGAACAACTCATAACACTTCATGTTTGAAGAGTTCACATAGCTAATAACATTGTATGAAACAGTATCAATAAAACTTGTGAAACCTGCATGTACCGATCATCAGGATGTAGCCATATGGAAAGAAAAATAAATAATCATATGATCATAGATCTATTCTAGACTTACCCCGAAGCAAGTCTTGAAATCAAAAATGCACCAGCGGATAAAACTGATGCAAAAAAATATTGACAAATTATAATTGTTGTGGAAGACTTATGGTTCTCTATGACAGCTTTAAAGATCTATTTTGACATTCTGTTTTGTATTCAAAAGGTTTCATTAAAATGAGACCAAAGGAATTTGAAGTGTGTATATAGCTATCATAAGACTTGAATCAGATGTATGGTACATCCTGCAGTGGCAATGTACTGCCAATAACACACTAGTTTACAGGAAAATGTAACCACCAATCTAAAACTAAGAGTTTGTATTTCATTTCACAATTGGTAGAAGCTTTCGAAGAACAAATTATAAAAAAAATATTTAACAATATATCGATTTGAATGTCGGGGAAATTAAAATAGTTTAATTTAGTTAGTTTAGTTCCCCTCATAGCACACTGTATGGTGTATGCCCGTCTTCATTAGC